AATGAACAATGCCATGTCATCCCAGTTCCAATCGCTTGGGCTTATGGTTAAAAACCATGTAGCTGGTCCATAATGCTGGGCCATGCAATTGACATCATTTCTAGGCTGTATCCAGTACTGGCTAGTGTTCCTGAGTTTGGAGAATACTGATGTCAGGTTCCCCTCTAATTCTCCCGATGCAAGGTTGTTCAAACAGTCTCTAGCACTAAGAGAGCCACTGAATCCAGTGACGTTGAGCTTGTGAAATACTCCTTGTCTTAACTGCCGAAGGTTTGCATCGTGCAGCAAATAAAAAAGGTAGCCTACTGCTGATTCAGTCTGAACTGAGAATGCTTTGAAAGCAACCGACATTTGATAAATTCAGCAGAATTGAGTTTGGTTTCTCTGGAATGAAACTGGCCAAATTTACCTTCGGGATACAAATCAGGGAAACAAAGCACGTCAATCTCTTTGTTTTCATGACTAATCGGAGGTTCATTCACTTTCAGCATCTTATAGAGCTCGGTGTCATCACTATAAGATTTTGACTCATGAAGAGCGTGGATTGTATAGTGAGACTCTTCTGAATCCCATTCCTCGTGAGTTACCTGAGTTAATATAGCACGTCTATGTAGTATTTCCTGAGGTGGCAGTTCGTTTTGATGGGTAGATTGAAACAAATTTGTGTCATCATTAAGGTTGAAGAGTCCTTCTGGATCTGTAGGTAGTACGATGCTACCATAATGAGCGTTGTTTTTCTTTAAGAAAATTAAGGCTGCGTGTACCTTATCCACACTAACCAACATTTGCCAAACTTTCTTTGCTTTGGTCGGTACCCCTCTGACCAAAACGTACAGCTCGTGGTTTGGATTCAGAGGGTCACTTGGTTTGGGCAATTTTTGCAGGGTTTCTTGAAGGGGTAGTGGCAAATGAAAACTTCTTCCAACGACTTTAGAAATTTGTTGCTGAGCTCGACTTGTTCTTTTCCCAACTGTGTTCATTTTTGTAACAACCTGAAATGCTTTGGCTCTCTGAATTAAAACTTTTTCATAACTGTTAAGGCAAGTTAGCTCTTTCGGCTGCGCACAAACATAGAGATCGTTAAGAATGCAAGTAGGAGGCATCTGACCTTTCCTTAGTTTTTCGAGGCAGCCCCGACAAATCCATCCTGTTTTGCACTCTTCTTTCTTTATGTCTTTTATTCTTTTCCATATGTGTCCTACAATTTGATTTTTTAGGTTTTTCAAAAGGCTTACTTGCTGCTTACTAAACAACTTATCGCATGAGACACAGGGAAACACTGGCGTTTCAGAAGAACGCTTCTCCAATGCCTCAAATGCTTTTTGATATTTTTCGAACAACTGAGACTCAGATTCAGGGACCTTGCTTTCACTTGTGTCATCTGTAAGAAAGGCTTTTGTTTGCTCTTTAAATTCCCTTTCTATCGAAAACAACACGTTCACCTGCACGTTAAGAATACCATTTTTAATTAGCATAATCTTCTTAGTTATTTTCAACAGTCGGTAAATTTTGGAGACAAGACTACGAATTGCAGGAAAGTGAGGATAGATTGTTCTCAGAAAAGGAAGTTTCGAAACACATGCTCCTGAGTAACAGTCCAAAGAGTGAGGATGAACACCTACACGAGATGATACACCACTTTGACATGAGTGCTCTCCCATGCTGACAATAAGCTTAGAACCTTTAGTGAGAGAGCTGGCAACTATTTCATTGTAAAGAGATTTAAGTTGCTCTAAGTGGTCAGGCTCAATGAAGCACATATCTGAGTTGCATTTCCACTGTTTCTTTGGAGAACTATGAGCTGTGCTGGGCTCATTACCAACAGTTATTTGTTTACCAGGAAACACTCTATACGTAAACTCCCACAAATAAGGCTCCGACGTGGAAACATGAAGACTGTGCCCACACAACGCCTCAACATTGTCTTCAAACGTGCTTGTTGCAGATAGCTTAGCAAGAGACTCTTTAGCACGATTTTGCAGGCTAACAAATAGCTTAAGGAAATTGTTTTTGTAATTTTTATAAGCATGCAACACCCATTTCAAGAGCTCTTTAGCCCTTAGCAACCTTTTAGTATAACCTTGCTCAAGTATTTTCTTTGCTATAAGTCTGGCTATTTTCTCACAATTTATTTTCCCCAAGAAAATATGTGAAGCTGCAACAGTTTTTTTAATTTTCCTTTTTGCATTTTGTAATGATTTTCTTTTCCCATCAGATCTATTTCTAAAAAAAAAGCGTCTGCTTTGATAGGCTGCACACTTTCGCACCCTTTCGTGAAAAACCTTAAGTTTATATCGCAAGCGAAAGTGGCCAGGGTGTTTTGCACAAAGTACTTTGTAACGTCTCCTGCGATTAGATTGTTTCATTTCTTGTTTTGCACCGTAGTTTAAACGTTGTTTAGCTTTATAATATTCTGGATCAGTAGAGTATTTCTGACGCACTCTAGCCTTGTGTGGCTCAGGATCAGTAGAATACTGCTGACGCTTCCTAGTCTTGTGTGGCTCAGGATCAGTAGAATACTGCTGACGCTTCCTAGCCTTGTGTGGCTCAGGATCAGTAGAATACTGCTGACGCACTCTAGTCTTGTGTGGCTCAGGATCAGTAGAATACTGCTGACGCTTCCTAGCCTTGTGTGGCTCAGGATTAGCAGAATATTGCTGCCGCAACCTAGCTCTGTGAGGTTCAGGATTAGCACTGTACTGCACACTTTTTCTTAACCTCTTAGTTTCAATATTAGCTAGATAACGTTTTCTGGCTTTGGATTTTTCTCCTTTAACATGTTCAAGGTACCAAGCTTTAGAAGTAGAACTCTTATTAGTGGATTGTATGCTAGCTTCTTCTGTTTTTCTTTTTTTTATAGCAGGGGCGTTTTCTAAATACCATTCTTGTTTTCTTTTTCTTGCCAGTCTTTCTTTAGAAGGCATACTGATGTTAGATTAGAAAGAAAGTAAATGCAATTAAAACATGGACGTGGTATCTTACCAAATGATCCTAAGAAATGTTCTCAATCATCTCAATGTTCTTGAACTAGATCTCTTCACTAAACATAAACAATGCTGCTCTTTTTGTAAAAATAAACAAGACATCAAATTTTTTTTATTTACAGCTGGTAATTAAAAATGGTTATAAATAGTTTGGGTGAAATATATAGACCACGGCACAACTACATCTCATTTCATTTCAATAATATTGTTTGTGTAGAACTAAATTCTACATTTTTTGGTCTTATCTGCTATAAACCAATTAAAAACTTTTTGACACACCTACCAAAATTACTATTTAACAAAAATTGCTACGTTGGAAGTTTTTGAAAACATGTGTTAAACGTATAGTCAACAGGGTGGTTGTTTCTATTTATGATTTTGTCAAGAATATGTTTATTTTAAACTAAACACACACTTTGAAACTGTATAATCTAGTCATCATCCATTAATATAGGTTCTGTGTCTGGGGCTGTAAATTCAGCAATGTTCATCTTGAACAACATAAAATGCGTTGGTGTTACATAAGTGTTCTGATAATTAAACCCGTATATCTAAAGACTAGTGTAAATTGAGCCCTTATTATAGAAGTAAAAATGTAATCAAACAGTTTAGGTTTGTTGGAAATAGCATAAGGCAAAACGAATATTGAAAAACTAATTAATCCTATATTTACATTTTAATTGCTGGTTTAACATACGTAAAGTGACTTTCCCGATTCTTTTATTTGTTTTAGTGTATCAAAACATAAAACAAACCTTAGTACTAGTACTAAGTTTCAAGTTACTAGGTTTCATATGTTTTGATAAGTAGTATTAAACTGTTAAAAATGACGAACTGCTGTACCAGTGTACCATCGGTACACTGCATTTTTCAATGGAAAGTATCGGGGAATATCACTGCTCTAAGTAATTTTATATAGTAAGTAGTTCAAATCATTCGGTATACCTGAAAAAATACTTTATGAAAGTTTTAAAATAATTTTTCAGCTGTTCCTATGAATTTCTCTAACATTTAAATTAATTGAGATTTAATCGCAGCTGGTCCTTCTTTTGTTTTGATTTTAATCCCATGTTATTTAAATGGGCCAAAATCGTACTTTGAGGGCTTGCCAAGGGTTTATGGTTCAACTCACCGACTTGAGACCCTCAAAAGGCACATCTACACGTTAAGGGCTTTCAAACAACATAAAGAACATTAAAATTGAGCCAGTGGTTTGGGCTGTAGGTCCGTCAACATTCAAGGAGAAGGAGAAGGAGGAGAAGGAGAACACGGAAAATTTGTGAATTTTCAAACTAGTTTTTCTTGGCTCAAACACAACAGTTTTTTAAATTCTTTTTTTTATTTTGTTGAGGATGAGTGCCCCTATCCAATAGATGAACAATTATTTTAATAGCTTTTGTTTCTTCAGAGCTATAGACGAGTGAAAAAGCCACTTTGTCACGTCAAGTATATATACACTGCAGCAGCTGTGTACCGCTGGGGGACTTGGCGGGGCGGAACGCTGCCGCGTTCCTTAATTGTTCTTTGTTGTGTGTAGCAGAAACATTGTAGCAGATGTACACATGTTTGGACATTTTTATGTCCATTTTTCTATTATTTGTTTATATAATTTTAGTTTTCATTTCATGTCTTACTTTACGTTTAATAAATCCTAACTCTAGGTAATTATATTATTCATCAATCTACGACGCTATATTGTACATTCTCATTGACATTTCTAAGTTAAAGTGTACTGTATCCAGTTTTTTTAATGAAAATGAACAAGGTTGTATTGAGCCTTAGACGAAGTGAACTGCTTCTGTAGTCAATTGTTTTGTGACGGTGTACTAACTCTTCAACCAAGCCAAACTAAAAGGTTAACTTATCGTAAACTTGTATATTTTAAGCTATTATAGTGTATGAATTTAAGAGAGAAAATAGAATTTTGACTGTAGCTCAATCTGTGAGTGGCTTATACATATACAACTAAGCCCTATTTTAAATATAGATTTCTGAAAGTCAATAGTATTCAGTCACCTGATCAATCATGTGATAAACAAAATCAACTGAAGCGTTCAGAGACGGACAGAGGGCCTGAGGAGAATCTGGTACTTCCCGCAGACCGGAGAACTCTTTGTGCTTGAGTGCAAACTCAACATGTCCAAAGGTTTGGACCAGTGGAATGATCTCAAGGTGGACGGATCTTGCAGCCTCCACGATCTCATCGACATCGCGACGTGTGTAGGCGTTGGTGGCAGCGAGGGGAGACAGGGTGTCGGACCAGGGGAACATATCCTCCCACTCCAGCAACACACCCGTGGCACCCATCTCTCTGGCCAGGGCCAACAACCGCTTGAGGTACGACACCTGCAGACACGCAACTGGGTAAACATACTGGACAGGAATCATATCACTAGGAAGGAGGGATATTAAACATTGACAAAATTTTTTTTCTGAAAATGCTAGAAATTCTATTGATGTAAAACATTTTAAGTGCGATCGAAGATAAAAGTGTTTGTTTAATTAATTGGCTCTGTAGGATTTGTCTGTTTGTCTTTGTATCCAGAGTATTCATGATTTTGTAATGTTTGTATTTCTGAAATGTTAACTGAAGTGTCAAAGTAAATTGCTTGAAATCATTTGTTATTATTAGGATCACTAAGGCAAAGTACAATGTAAGGTACCTTGGGAGGAGCTCCCTTGAGGTCCAGGTGTATCAGTCTCTGCGGAGGAACATAGTTGAACTTTGCATCCAAGCCTGAGTATATGAGGTTATTGCCATAACTGATGTCTCCATTGGCAGAGTCCACCAGCTCTGCACCCTCCATCCTCAAGGCTGCCCCTGTATCAGCACTTTATTATAATCAACCACGTCCACAATGTCACTGTATATGACAATGACATACAGCTAAGGTCCTTATTAAACAGGATGAATCACACAGAATCAAATCATTCTAAATTGTACAATTTCTTTCTTTCGACTAATCATAAAGCTATGTCCATGCCGGGACATTTGTTTGTGAATCATGTTTACTGACTGTTTCCCAAATAAATGGCATTTGCCAGCGGGGTAATTGAACTAATTTAAACGGTTTGTAAATTTGTATGTTGCCTAACATTCAAATGTTGAGAAACTTTGGTTTTTAAAAATAAAATAATTAAAATGTGTAGAAAGGTACCTGTGACAGGCAAGTTTGCCACAAACTGCACACTGTTGGCATGGGCGTCATTGCCCAAGTCATCCATCTGGGGGGCTGGAGGAACGTCTACCACCTCCTTGGCAACATTGTACTGTAGACACAGTACTATCAGTGCCAGTGCCATGGCCGCCCCTAGTAGTGTGGACTTGCGCCTCCATACTGTCAGCCTCAGCCGTCCAGCGTACGACCCTGCCAGCTTCATCTCAGTGTGCCTCTGTAACATACATAGTACTATCAGTGCCAGTGCCATGGCCGCCCCTAGTAGTGTGGACTTGCGCCTCCATACTGTCAGCCTCAGCCGTCCAGCGTACGACCCTGCCAGCTTCATCTCAGTGTGCCTCTGTAACATACATAGTACTATCAGTGCCAGTGCCATGGCCGCCCCTAGTAGTGTGGACTTGCGCCTCCATACTGTCAGCCTCAGCCGTCCAGCGTACGACCCTGCCAGCTTCATCTCAGTGTGCCTCTGTAACATACATAGTACTATCAGTGCCAGTGCCATGGCCGCCCCTAGTAGTGTGGACTTGCGCCTCCATACTGTCAGCCTCAGCCGTCCAGCGTACGACCCTGCCAGCTTCATCTCAGTGTGCCTCTGTAACATACATAGTACTATCAGTGCCAGTGCCATGGCCGCCCCTAGTAGTGTGGACTTGCGCCTCCATACTGTCAGCCTCAGCCGTCCAGCGTACGACCCTGCCAGCTTCATCTCAGTGTGCCTCTGTAACATACATAGTACTATCAGTGCCAGTGCCATGGCCGCCCCTAGTAGTGTGGACTTGCGCCTCCATACTGTCAGCCTCAGCCGTCCAGCGTACGACCCTGCCAGCTTCATCTCAGTGTGCCTCTGTAACATACATAGTACTATCAGTGCCAGTGCCATGGCCGCTCCTAGTAGTGTGGACTTGCGCCTCCATACTGTCAGCCTCAGGCGTCCAGCGTACGACCCTGCCAGCTTCATCTCAGTGTGCCTCTGTAACATACACAGTACTATCAGTGCCAGTGCCATGGCCGCTCCTAGTAGTGTGGACTTGCGCCTCCATACTGTCAGCCTCAGCCGTCCAGCGTACGACCCTGCCAGCTTCATCTCAGTGTGCCTCTGTAACATACACAGTACTATCAGTGCCAGTGCCATGGCCGCCCCTAGTAGTGTGGACTTGCGCCTCCATACTGTCAGCCTCAGCCGTCCAGCGTACGACCCTGCCAGCTTCATCTCAGTGTGCCTCTGTAACATACATAGTACTATCAGTGCCAGTGCCATGGCCGCTCCTAGTAGTGTGGACTTGCGCCTCCATACTGTCAGCCTCAGCCGTCCAGCGTACGACCCTGCCAGCTTCATCTCAGTGTGCCTCTGTAACATACATAGTACTATCAGTGCCAGTGCCATGGCCGCCCCTAGTAGTGTGGACTTGCGCCTCCATACTGTCAGCCTCAGCCGTCCAGCGTACGACCCTGCCAGCTTCATCTCAGTGTGCCTCTGTAACATACACAGTACTATCAGTGCCAGTGCCATGGCCGCCCCTAGTAGTGTGGACTTGCGCCTCCATACTGTCAGCCTCAGCCGTCCAGCGTACGACCCTGCCAGCTTCATCTCAGTGTGCCTCTGTAACATACACAGTACTATCAGTGCCAGTGCCATGGCCGCCCCTAGTAGTGTGGACTTGCGCCTCCATACTGTCAGCCTCAGCCGTCCAGCGTACGACCCTGCCAGCTTCATCTCAGTGTGCCTCTGTAACATACACAGTACTATCAGTGCCAGTGCCATGGCCGCCCCTAGTAGTGTGGACTTGCGCCTCCATACTGTCAGCCTCAGCCGTCCAGCGTACGACCCTGCCAGCTTCATCTCAGTGTGCCTCTGTAACATACACAGTACTATCAGTGCCAGTGCCATGGCCGCTCCTAGTAGTGTGGACTTGCGCCTCCATACTGTCAGCCTCAGCCGTCCAGCGTACGACCCTGCCAGCTTCATCTCAGTGTGCCTCTGTAACATACACAGTACTATCAGTGCCAGTGCCATGGCCGCCCCTAGTAGTGTGGACTTGCGCCTCCATACTGTCAGCCTCAGCCGTCCAGCGTACGACCCTGCCAGCTTCATCTCAGTGTGCCTCTGTAACATACACAGTACTATCAGTGCCAGTGCCATGGCCGCTCCTAGTAGTGTGGACTTGCGCCTCCATACTGTCAGCCTCAGCCGTCCAGCGTACGACCCTGCCAGCTTCATCTCAGTGTGCCTCTGTAACATACACAGTACTATCAGTGCCAGTGCCATGGCCGCCCCTAGTAGTGTGGACTTGCGCCTCCATACTGTCAGCCTCAGCCGTCCAGCGTACGACCCTGCCAGCTTCATCTCAGTGTGCCTCTGTAACATACATAGTACTATCAGTGCCAGTGCCATGGCCGCTCCTAGTAGTGTGGACTTGCGCCTCCATACTGTCAGCCTCAGCCGTCCAGCGTACGACCCTGCCAGCTTCATCTCAGTGTGCCTCTGTAACATACATAGTACTATCAGTGCCAGTGCCATGGCCGCCCCTAGTAGTGTGGACTTGCGCCTCCATACTGTCAGCCTCAGCCGTCCAGCGTACGACCCTGCCAGCTTCATCTCAGTGTGCCTCTGTAACATACATAGTACTATCAGTGCCAGTGCCATGGCCGCTCCTAGTAGTGTGGACTTGCGCCTCCATACTGTCAGCCTCAGCCGTCCAGCGTACGACCCTGCCAGCTTCATCTCAGTGTGCCTCTGTAACATACATAGTACTATCAGTGCCAGTGCCATGGCCGCCCCTAGTAGTGTGGACTTGCGCCTCCATACTGTCAGCCTCAGCCGTCCAGCGTACGACCCTGCCAGCTTCATCTCAGTGTGCCTCTGTAACATACATAGTACTATCAGTGCCAGTGCCATGGCCGCTCCTAGTAGTGTGGACTTGCGCCTCCATACTGTCAGCCTCAGCCGTCCAGCGTACGACCCTGCCAGCTTCATCTCAGTGTGCCTCTGTAACATACACAGTACTATCAGTGCCAGTGCCATGGCCGCTCCTAGTAGTGTGGACTTGCGCCTCCATACTGTCAGCCTCAGCCGTCCAGCGTACGACCCTGCCAGCTTCATCTCAGTGTGCCTCTGTAACATACACAGTACTATCAGTGCCAGTGCCATGGCCGCCCCTAGTAGTGTGGACTTGCGCCTCCATACTGTCAGCCTCAGCCGTCCAGCGTACGACCCTGCCAGCTTCATCTCAGTGTGCCTCTGTAACATACACAGTACTATCAGTGCCAGTGCCATGGCCGCCCCTAGTAGTGTGGACTTGCGCCTCCATACTGTCAGCCTCAGCCGTCCAGCGTACGACCCTGCCAGCTTCATCTCAGTGTGCCTCTGTAACATACATAGTACTATCAGTGCCAGTGCCATGGCCGCCCCTAGTAGTGTGGACTTGCGCCTCCATACTGTCAGCCTCAGCCGTCCAGCGTACGACCCTGCCAGCTTCATCTCAGTGTGCCTCTGCAACATACACAGTGCTATGTATAGTTCAAGTTGACATTGCCTAGGGCTCAGATACGGCAGTATTTCATGTAACAACTGGCACTGTACCAAAATTTAAGTAACATAAAACTGTAACGGGTGGCGTCGTCCTGTAATTCAGCTACTAGGAGGTTAGAATTGTGGTATAGGCATGAACTGTGGATGCGACACTCCCAGGTGTGGATTAACGTCCGCACGAGTGAGTACTACAACTATCCGCAGAACTATCCTGAAAATTAGACCAATTCGTGTATACCATGGCAAAAATGTGGTTCGGATTATAAACTGTAGGTCCCTTAGTTGCCATTAATAGCTGTATGGGCTATTAATTAACAGATGTGTCTAAGCATAGACAAAAAGAATTAAATATAGACTGTCAGCTATGCTGCGGTTACCATAGGTTCTGGCGCACACCACTGGGAGCGCCATGTAACTACGTAACAACACGGCGCTCCTAGTGGTGTACGCCAGAACCTATTGTAACCATGGTTACCGCAGCACGGCTGATAGTCTATATTTATTTCTTTTTGTCTATGGTCTAAGGTATAAGTCGGCCTTAGTTACTAACAAGACTACAAGATCGTGCCTCTCATACTACACTCATCTCCATTCATACTTGGCTTAAAATACCTACTTTGTATGGTCGCCATTTCATTGAAAAAGTATTAAAGTATTAAAAGTATATTTATTGATCAATAACAATTGTTAATTTTTTGGGGATTCAGTGACCTTTGCAAGTTTTTAATTTATTATGAAAAACTTATTTTCCGTGGTTGGTAATCTGTGCAAATAGATTTGTGACACAAATCCAGCAACAAAACTTATGATTAGCTCTTTCACACGATGTTCCTTTTTAATCATAACTCAAGTGTGCTTAATCAAACCCCTTTAATTGATTAGGCATTTCATTAGGTTCCTGTACTTAAACCACTTTTCAAACAGTATACAAATCTTACAAGTAACCCCTTTGTAAAAATTACGCAATATCAATGTATCATTATTTAATATTGTACAAGCATGATTTCAGTTGTTGCGTGTGTAATGTAGTCATAGGCCATAGTGAGGTTATGACATCGAAGACAACTGGACCACATGACGTCACTGCATCTATCTTGAGGCCTACTGTTTTTAGGTTGACATTGTCTAATTGCACTTTTATTAAGCGTAGTATTTATCAATTTTAAATCGTCATTTAGCAGATACGGTACTCAAGAAAGGATTGTACTAATATTTCTTGGTAGGGTTATTCATTTTGTTTTATAATAAACAGTTTGACATTGACATTGGTTTTACAGTTTTATTCATATAGAGTAGAGATCAAAATGAATTGGGCAAGTATTTTATAGTTATTGAACAAAAGATATTCACAAATTTTTAAAGATAGTTTAGGATTGCAATACTTAACTCATGAGACTATAAGAATGTTATCCGTGAAAATATAAATTACATATGAGCCATTGGTTGGATGAACCCTTGTATAACAAATAGGAAGCTATTTAAACTTTGCTTTCCAATAGTTAGTATTTGTATCTGTTTTTTCCCGAGAAAATTGACAGACCGCAAAGCCTCAACACGGGACGACAATGGAAACTGGACAGCCGAAACTGATGTAAACCATAAATCAAGACCAAACCTTGCCTCTGTTAACAATTCCACCTCAAGAAAACAAGCAAATGATGTCTTGAAAGTTTATTGGAGG